ACTGTCAGGGCCCAGGAGATTAAATCAATGATTACCTGTAATACTTTAAGGGTGATAAGATAATAATTCTAAAGGCACTAATAATGGCAAAGACCATCCATCTAGCAAAACACAAGCAGTATTAGAGGTGGAGGTCAGTATAACCCTAGGATGTGGCTTCTGTCCTGGCTTACAATACCATACCTTTTCCCCAGTAGGGTCACCATATTTAGTGAGGCCAGTATAATCTAATGGAGGAATAGGGAAGGTCCATAAAGTTAAGAAAAATGTTCCCTTCTTTAACCTCAAAGAAGTATTATTTATTTATTTATTTGTGATTTGGGTGAAAGTTTACAGAGCAAATTCACTTTCCATACAGCAGCTCACATATACTTTGTCTCATGACATTGACTACAATTTACCACAATGCAACAGTTCCCTTCCCACTTTCCCCCCGAAGTTACCTTTTCCATGTGTCCTTCCCTCCCGTGCACTCCTGTTCCCTGAGCTGTCTCACTGTGCATACACAGCACTTCTATTCTCCCATGATTGTTCTCTCCAAGACGACACACAAACCTTTTTAACTTCTACTATGGGCAAATAAAATAGCCCAATTTTACTTCACTTACTAGAGTATAATCACATAACTTAACTAATAAAATGTAATTTGAGACCAAAAATGAACACATGTAGTATAACGGTAACATATCTTGCAGAGCATTAGATCACTTTCACTCAACAAACATTTACTGAGCTCTCTGGGGATACCAGGTTCCTGCTCCAGAAATTTGCATTCTAGCACAGGTATTTTAAAATATATTTTTAAAAATTATAAAGTATTTTTAATCTTATGCAAAATACCAAAAATATAAAACACATACAATCAAAGCTTCTCTATTCACTCTGTGTGTGTGTGTGTGTGTGTGTGTTTCCATGTTTGGGTGAGTAGGAATGGATAAGAGTGGGGGACTTTCTGTCCAGTGCAACTCTCCTGCTCAGAAAACTCCAACTCTTCCTTTCCTCTACCCTGACCACCCAGCCACCCCACAGTCCCTGTGGACTGCTACTAAATATTCAGGGGTTCCAAGGTTTGAAACACACCTATCTACTCTTGTTGAAAAGTGCCGGCTCTAAGGGCTGGGTGAAGGCTCCTTGATCTTGGGCTTCTACTCTGCCTTCTGTTCCAGGCCTACTAGAACTGGGGGCTTTTTCTGACTCACACAGCTGCTGAATGCTGAGGCTGAAGAACCCAAGATCAACAGGTAAAATGGCACAGTCCCAAGATCAGCAGGTAAAATTGGCAGACCATTGGTTCAAGTCCAGGAATTAATCAAACACAGGAAGCCTCGTCTGTAAGAAGTAAAGTCCTTCCAAGCAGGTATAAGCTTAAGAATGAAAGGTTGCTCAATACTATGAACTTTGTGAAAAGGATGAGTGGCAGTACCAACAGAGGAGAAGAGAGAAAACACATTTGTAGAAAACAAAGTAGAAGGCACAGGTGGTGAGGATGTTGTTGTTAGGTGCTGCCAAGTTGATTCTGACTCCTAGAGATCCTATGTACAACAGAACAAAACACTGTTTGGTCCTGCGCTATCC